TGATCTTGAGACTTGGTTACAGAAAAAAGTCAAGATGACTGTGAAACTGTTTGTTAATATCAGCAAAAAAAAGGAACAGGCTTTTCACCCAATTGTTGGACAGCACACGTTGTTGTCCCTTCCTGATACTAGCAAGGGTGTGAAATCTAGCAAGAATGATCTCGGTTTCACTGCCTTAAAACCAGAGGAGAAAACAAAAAGGAAATACAGATGTAGTCAGATTGACAGATGGGGAGAGAATACATAAAATATAGGTCCTCATACTTCAAAACCCTAAGACCTTCGCACTTTTCCTAACATGTTCCCTGCACATGAACAGCAGACTTCTAATAGTTACTAGACATAGATACTAAAAGTGAAGAATTACTGGATGCCCTAAGCTAGTAAAGAACACAGAGAGATAGAAATGTAAAGTTAACCAAGGCTGTGCAGCCTGTACAGACCAGTCTGGTTTACCCTAGATATGAAATGAAGGTAATACAATGAGTCAGTTCAGATGTCATTAAGAGAAACACATGCATCTCTTACACTGACCATGTAGTAAAAAGGAAGGAAATTAACAATCTAAAAAATTAAAACTGGACCAGCTACTTAAAGGTTGTTATTTTCAGTAAAATTTAAAAAATACATATTTTTAGACACAATTGTAAAATGCTTAGAAAATTTTGGAACATTTTACTAACGTATTTCTTAGATCCACACAACAGTATTAGCTGAATACACTTATTACAAATATAAAATAGCAAATTACAGCTGTTCTCGGGTCCTCTTTTTTTTTTCATTATCATGGAGTAAATTTTGCCAGAAGCACATGTTAGGGATGTGTAAATGCATTGGCAGAAGTTACAGAAAGAAAGCAGTTTAAAATGGATGCTTCATCTGGTTTCCTTCAGAACATCCATAATTTTTTATTTAAAAAAACCAAACAAACCAACCCCACAGATCTTGAGTTCTTGATAAAGAATTTTCCAATACAATGTGACATATGGTGAATGTGCGAGCACGTGCTGGAGGAGGAGATGGTGGCTCAATGGATTAGTCATTTGCCTTTCACCTCTGGAAGCATAGTTAAACTCAGCCCTGACCAGAGCTGCACAGTATATTCCAGATGGCTAAAGTGGGCCTAATTAAAATGAATTCAGTGATGTCACCTTGGATCTAAGTGAACCGCATGCACTACTCATTTGGCACTTTGGCAATGTCAGTTCAAAAATTAAATAACCAGACTGAAATCCTCTTTTAAGTCTTTCAGGACAACAGTCACACTGCATAGAAATACATGCTATCACAACTTGAAATTGTATATTTATATTTGTATTATCTGTTGTTTAAAATTATAATTAATGTATTATCATAATACAAAGAAACATTAAGACTTGCATATGGGGTAAATCAGTGCAATAACATCTCAGTCAGATGATTCAGTGGATATACACTGATTTATACCAGCTGCAAATCTTGCAACATAATTTAAAATAGTTCTTTATTTTAACAAAATATTTTCTGTATTATGTAGATGTAAATAAAAACAATACAAATCCCAATTACAAAGAAATACTCAGATGTGCAAAGTATCGTTAACTCAAACACTTTACACAAAATAACTATTTATGACTCTTCTCTAAGTTAGAGGTTAGCATTTTCTAACTTTCAGTTTGGAAAACATGACTGGAAGAAGTAGGAAAGACTGTCTACCCTCTGTACCATTTTAGCCATGAATTTAACAACTTCTGTGTATTCTGAGAACCTGTAATGTAGATATGCTGAAGTACAGTAGCATTTTCTTCCTCACCTTATTTAAATTCACAAATATTTTGTTTCCTAACAAGGGTGTTTTCCCCTATCTGAAATAATGACTTTTTGTGTGTGTGATACTATACACTCAGGAATTGTATCCTCATGTATATTGTGAGGATTGTTTTTTCCTAAGTTTGTTTTTTCTTCCAGCATTTCATCAATGGATAGCGAACTGCAGGGCCCACAGAGATCTCCAGACCACCAGCTCATGTATTTGAAAGGCATCTGTTTATTTTTAAAATGCAAATGCAGCCTACCTCAAAGACTGACTTGCAAGAAATGAACAATCTGAACAAGTCAAGAGGTTTCCAATCAGGAGCTGTGTTTCTCCTTTTTATCAAGCTATGATCACTTGCTGTCAAAACCACTTAAACAATATCCTGGAATCAGAATGAAGTCCCCCCACAATTAAAATGAGCAGGATAATCCTGCAAGAATTATTCAGGCAAATCATTTTTCACACAGTTTAAAGTAATGATAAGGTAATTTACAAAAGAAATCAGTGCCTTTGAAATGCTGACTTGTAGACAGAGGACTGCCTGGAGGAGGGCCATAGATAACAGTGAAGACTGGCCTCCTAACACTACCCTTGCAGTCCTTGGAACTGATTCTGATGAAGAGAAGGCCCAATAAGGTTAATACCCCTACTTTGATCTCTGTCAAAGCGTACCAGCAAGAATTAATTTACATTTCAGATGAAAAAGGTTGACAGCATGAAAAGGCATCTTGTTTCTGGTATGTGAATGTGCTGTAATAGATCGGGAATTCTGAAAGGAAGTTCTGAGGAAGCTAAAGGGATAAGCCGAGCGGCTGCTTTTATTGGGAAAGAGATGAAAGGAAAACAAATTTCAATATGCGCTGTTCTGTAGAAACATGTAAGCCAAATGCTTCCTAAATTTCAAGGCTTGCTTGAGCAGGGTAGGGGGGGAGGTGGAAGGGGTGACAGGAGGGAGGAGGGGGAGAAGAGAGGGAAGTACATATATTTTAATTATATGGTTTTGCTAATGTCTGGATGACAATCACACTGCCTGAAATGGCTCCTTTTAAAAAAAAAACCACACAAATGTGCTCATACTCCTTTTTACTGAAAAGCTGCCTTGAACTACACACATTATAAGACGTGCAGGGAAGGGAGAGACTTGGAATTGCTTTTGTCTCCATGTCACTAGGCACTTGGACAGTGTAATGTAAACAACAGAAAGACTGTCAGTGTATTTTAAAACCTGGAAAATGGCCACCATTAGCAAGCATGAGCTCTGATTTAAAACACAGAATAATTAGCATTTAGAGAAGAGAAAACATGCACAAGAAGAATTTTCAAGTAAGTCCTAGATATAGGTTTCCAAACACAGACAGAAATGTGTTGAGGATTATTGAATGCAGTGCCAAAGACAGGAGCAGCAAACAGTCTAATTAATACAAAGGTGCACTGTGACACTTAACCCTACAGTCCTAATGCTTATTCACCCAAACTGATCAGTGAAACTGTCAAGTGCCAGGTTACAAAGGAAGATTGTGTGTCTTGGTGGGAAAAGTGCTAACAGCATTCCTCCAGTATTAGGTCCAGAGGGCAACAGAAGTATCCAAATTCAAGGCTATGCATACACACCCACTACCTCTGCTCTGCCACATTCAGCACAGCCTCTCAAAGATGACAAAAAGGAACACAGCTCTGAACCTCTCTCATGTACAAACAGCAGAATAGGTCAGTTGCTTTCTCTAAAGAGCTAGTAATGAGCATGCAAATCCTACATGCCTAAGAAATCTAGCTGATTAAAACTGTAAGGCGTAATGTCCTCTATAGTCTCCTAGTGATACTGCTACACACCAGTTTCCTACTGAACCTGGGAAACTCTCATCTTAAGGAACTGGTAATAATGGGACAGTGACGAGTCAACTGTTTCACTTGTCTTTAAGGCAAAAAGGTTGTTGTAGAAATCAGGAAATCAAAGTTCAGGTACAGCCAAGTGTAAATGTAGCAAATACTCCAGAAAATAGTTGCAGGGGGTCCTTTAAGATCTTCCCTCTGTGATATCATGAAAACAATAGAAAATGACAACACAAAGGAGAGGAAGAAGGGGAGAGAGTGCTTTTATGCAGTCCCTCAGTGCTTGTTGTTGAAAAAAATTATCCATAATAATTCTCCATTTAATAGAATATTCTGAAGTTGACCCTAGAGCTACAGTTCATGATTCTACCTCAGAGCATGCATGCAAATCTATAAATTCTTACTTTATCCTAATGATACTCTGTTCCTTTTTTTAACTAGACTCATATTCTGTTTCAGCTGAAAGTCAGTGATGCCTTGTTTCGGAGTAGCAGACTTGGACAAAAAAAACCAAATAAATATACTGGACATGGCTTGATAACAAAGTAAAAGAGTATTTAGAACACATCTTTTTCAGACTGACTTTAGATCACATGATACAGAATAGAAAGGAGACAAAGCTTAAGGAATCTGACAGACTAAAGGTGGTACACCTTAGTTTATCTGTAAAAACATTTGCTACAACTCATATTTGGTCAGCTACAGTCTTTCAACCTGGGGTTGGACAGGGAAGGTACATTATACTGCATCATATGGAGGCTGCTTCATGTTGGCAGCATCTGAAAACAGCATTGAGCTCACAACACTGGTTCTTAGATTTCTGTGCCATATGGTACCCTGCTCTACTAGAGACCTACACAGCCCTATGGGCCTGTTCCTCCAATAATCTCTTTAAAGTTTATTCAAATTCATATTGATATGGCTGCATAGGAGTCTGGCAGAGAGTCAGAAGATTGGCCAAAACTGGCAAACCCAGTAAGCAGTCAAAATGAAAACCTGGCAACCTGCCAAGAGCAGGTCTCAAGACAAAAGACAGAGAAATGCATATCCACTGCCTCCCATCCACACTTTTAGTCAAATTAATCCAGCGCTTCACACCACCTTTACACATAGCTGAATCATACGGGCTGTGCTCAAAAGAATCTTAAAGAACTAACTCAAAAGCTTTTAACCTGTATGCTTTGCTTCCAGAGGAGTATTTACAAAAAGTCCAAAGTGCCTGATACTTGTCACTGAAGTAATTTGATACTTTTGATTGATCGTAAGTAATGTTTTTGATAGCTTTTGTTTGGACTGTATGTATTTCTCTTGTCTCTAAACACTTAGACATGAAATCAACAACAGCAAAATAGGTGTTGGCAATTGAAATAATGTTTTAATTACCTGCTTGAATATGTATAGCAGCATCAGTTCTTCTGTTCCTTATTTCCTTGTACTTCCTGCGAGTTTCATATCCTCTCCAGGCTAAAAATACAAAACCATGTGCTGGAAATTACATTTATTTAAGGAAGTGCTACAGAGTATATGGAGTCAGAGATGTGCTGAAACTTTCATCCCTCCTGCCATAACCAATCCAGCCCCCATCCCCAATACCTCTTCTCCACCCACCCACATGTTGAACTCTGGATTCATGACTGCAGTATTCACATTCCCACAACTTCAAACACCACTTCACCCATCCAAATTTTAATTGTCACCATGTGCTCACTGATGTCCTAATCCAAAAGGCAAAGGTGCATGATCATGTCAGCACAAGAACTCCCTTTCTCACACAGCTCCCCAAATCTGATAAAATAAAGCCTGCTAAATTAATGATAACCAGCCACTCAGGCCCAGCCCACAATGTATGTTATCTGGAATTCTGGTAAAAATGGGGGTTGTGGTGGAATGCTACTGCATTTAATTTCTATGCTGCATGCTAGCATAGATGTATCTAATAATAATTTCATTCTGTCTGCAGGAATCACACCCAAAATACTAAAGTATTTAAATAACAACATTATCAAATAATTAGATGACACTTTAGAAGCAAATCAATAATATATGCCTCAATTAGCTGGAAAGAAAAGCACCTCCAACTATTCTGATTTCATAATAAACTATTGTGAATGAATAAACAGTGTGCATGCAATTTAACAGGCTGAAATACAAAGATACTCAATGAGAGAATGTGAACATTTACCTGCCTGTATGGTAGTAGCACTATTTTCTCTTTTCTCTTTGACTTTCTTGTACCTCCTTGCTCCAAGCCATCCCTTGATATAGGCTTGCATGACCACCACCCTCCCTATAACTTCTCGCAGTAACAAATTTAACTGCTCTACATGGAAATACTTTAGAAAAACCTGAAATGGAATAAAAAAACCAACACAACAGTATTAGATGCAGGAAGTAGCATACCCTCTTGTACTCTATCTTTTCATTGGTCTGATGTCAGCCTATTTTTGGGCACAGCTCCTTAGAAAACTGGTAAAGTACTGGCTGCTGATACCTCAGCAATCTTGTGAATCAAATATTTCCTTGCCATGTGCTTGTGGAATTTCATTATTCCACTGATTATAATCACCCCATTGGAAAATAAGCCAGATATTTACTCTCTTTATAAAGTAAATTGGTCAGGGCAGTATTTTCAGGTATCAACAGTTTTGAAATATGGTCTTTCTTGACAGTGGGAAGTTAAATCTTGTGTTGAATTTGTTTTTAGACATAATGCTGTCTAACAGCATTCTGCTTCAGAAGGCAAATCCTGTGGATGCTTACATCCACTTTATATGAGTCTTGAGTAGGAAAATGCTTGGTTTTCCTCTGTAATCTGCACAACTCAATATACTATATAACTTCCTTTTTACAGAAGTCATCCACTCTATTTTAAACCATGAACAAAGGCACTTGACAGAATCAGAGGATCTCACCTGAAACTCCACAAATGGAAAACGTACTAATCATAATAGGTGAGACTGAAGTTTCACTCCTATCATGATTAAGAGCAGGACGAACGTCAGGGGGGCACTACCACAGGAGGTACTGACAGATGTACGGACTTTACCAAGGCAGTCACATGCAGAGTGTGCCTTGGGGAGGTACCCAGTGCACCCCTCCCTCTTGCAGCACTAACTCAAATGGCTTGGAAGGGCACCTCTGTAACATGGGAGGTTACAGAGCAACCTGGGAGGACAACTGGAGCAAATTCCTTGCTCTTTTGTTCATGTATGCAATACTTTTCAAACTAATATTAGACATGTTTTGCTTTGAGAAAATGTTAGCACCTTGGTTTTCCCAAGAATCCAGTTGTCTAGTTTAGATTTCTCCAAAATGGCAAGACAGTTTTCTCTGCTACCAAGGGGAGTCTCGTGTGCCTTGAATGCAAGGTAATAATACCTGCAAAACCAAATGACAAAGAAAGAATTGACTTGATAATCAATATGTATTTTCACTGCTCTTCTCAAGCCCAGAACTGCATCTCTAGAAATTTGGGCCAAATTCTCCCCTATACTCATTCCTCTTCATAAATCATGATGCAGCTCTCACAAACAGGAATTTGAGCTACTCCTCACTTGTGAGACCCCACCTGGAGTACTGTGTCCAGCTCTGGAGCTCTCAACACAAGAAGGTCATAAAGCTCTTGAAGTGAGCCCAGAGGAGGACCATTAAGACTATCAGAAGGCTGGAGCACCTCTCCTATGAAGACAGGCTGAGAGAGCTGGGCTTATTCTGCCTGGAGCAGAGAAGGCTCCAAGGAGACCTTACACTGGCCTTCGAGTACCTGAAGGGGGCCTACAGAAAAGCTGGGGAGGGACTTTTTACTACAGTGTGCAGTGACAGAATGAGAAGTAATGGTTTAAGAGGGTAGATTTAGGTTAGATATTAGGAAGAAATTCTTCACTGCGAGGGTGGTGAGACACTGGAACAGTTTGGCCAGGGAGGTTGTGGATGCCCCCTCCCTGCAAGGGTTCAAGACCAGGTTGGATGGGGCTTTGAACAAGTGGAAAGTGTCTCTGCCCAAGCAGGGGGGTTGGAACTACATGGTCTTTAAGGTCCCTTCCAAACCAAACCATTCTATAATTCTATGATATACGTGACATAGGAAAATAAGGGTGACAAGAATCTACTGCACTCCAGAAATCCCCAGTTGGTGTAATCATCCATAAAAGTCTTTCACAAACCAATGCAATTTAGGAAACACCCAAGGTTGCTCTGAATTTTTCAGACAAACTAGTGAATGAATGACAGGGAGAAGAAGGAAAAGTGCTAGAGATCAGAAGAATAGAAGGAAAGGCAAAAATAAAAGAATTTGCATAACGTGTATAAAAAGCACACCATCTACAGAGCTGCTTAACATACTTCAGCACAGTTCTGTTGAACTGCAAGTTCTGTTGAACAAACAGGTACTCCCTGTGGTGTTCAATGGACCTTTACAGATTTCTGAGTGGAAGAAAAGTCAAATAATAGCATTAAAGAAACAGAAAAGCACCAAAGGAAAGCTATTCATTACCTGATGCCCGTTTATTATGAGGAATACCAAAAAACACATTTCAGAACCTTTCAATATTTTAGTTACTGGTGTCGTTTGTTTTTCACAAAGAAATATAAATGGCCCTGACATTCTCTGGGAAGCATAAATCCTATGTAAGAACTTGAAGGCTCTTGAGCTTGTAGCAAACTTGCTCCCATCAGTGGGACCATTTGTATTGGTAAGAATTTTATCAGTGATGTTGTTTAAAAAGAACTAGCAGCTATTCTAAAGAAAAAAGTTAACTACTCCTCATATTATTGTAATAATTTTCTTTATGCATAAGGTTTTTCTGTGGTTATGAATAGGTTTGTAAGTCATAAGGTATGATGTCTTTTTTCTCTTTGACTGGGATTAATTAAGTGGAATGATTACGATCCATTTTAGTAACCTTTGGAGTAGGCCCATACTAAACAAAATTTACTTTTCTTTTGTCCAGGTTCCCTTGCAAAGAATAGCCCCTAACAATTATGTGAAATAACCTTACTGTGCAAACAGAAAATGAAAAAGGGATGCAAAAACATATCTGCACTGAACAGACATTAAGAATAAGTGGACTGATCCCTACTGATAAAGCCATCATATTGATGCAGAATGTTTTTTTATAGTATTTAAGTAACTCACAAACAATTATGTTAAGTAACAGCAAGAACATGTGCCAGTTAGTTTACAAATTTAAGATAGTACATAGTACATTGTTAGATGGTAGCAACTACCACCTCAGTTCTCATTTAGGAACTGCCATGTGTTGTTTTGCTTGTTATAACTATACTTCTACAGGAGCTACTCTGTCCACGTTGTGTTTGAGAGGAACTGGCAGGTTCAGCAAACTTTTCTACTAATTATTAGCATGGGGAAGAGCCACCAGATGCTCTTTTAAATATAAAGAGAAGAACCCAGCCAGTGAATGTCAAAGGCAGATTCCTTTGTAGCCACATAGAGGAAAGAAGATGTCCCACCTCATATTGAAGAAAATATGGAGAAGGAATTAGAAAGAATGGAATAGCACAAGATCTTTTTTTTTTTTTTTTTTTTTTTTCTTTAAATCAGAATATCGTTTTCAAATATTAGCTCCAGTTGTCACAAGAAAGAAAAAAAGAACCACTAAAATAGTCAATAAAGATCAAAGGGGAACAAAATTATGTCTGAAGGGAGAAGCACTGGAATCAGTTCTGGACTAGAGACACAGATATTCACCAACTGGAGACATTTCCCAATCTGAATAATGATAGGAGACCATGTATTACCAAGATATTTTCAACCCAATGACTTTCTCAAGAAGATGATATTGCAAATTCTTTAACCAAATCTTTCAAAATACTAAGAGTCATGGAATTTAGTAGGCATGGAAAGAGTTGATGTATTTAAAAGAAAAAAAGCACATTTCCTCCAAACTTGATCATATCAGTTTTCACAACACAAATGTATTGAGTTGCACTAACAAAACTAAGATTTAAAATACATATCATGAACAATTTGTGATAGTATCCTATTTCAACACATACTTGACAGATGCATTAGGGAAGTTGCACTAATAGTAAATTGCTGTTCACTTCAAAACTCAGTTTAGATAGTCATGTTATTCACATATCTATGCAACTTTAAAAGTTTGTTTCATTAGAAAGAAGGAAGGGTTCAAGTGAGTGATAATACCAGTTTTCTGGCTGTTCGTACACCTTTTAAGGCATGTTACAGTTGGGAATTTTGAAACTACTGCACAGATTTTAGATACCATTGATGCGATAAAATAGTCAAGGGGGATCTCATATTTTTTGAATCTTACTGTCTTACTGATGGCATTATAATAACTGAGAAACTGACTTCTTATTCGCGATGAATACCTGACTAAAAATATTTTTGAGCTATGCAATTCATATGCCTGACTATACCATTTTGTTCAAGACAAACTTCAACATCTTTCAATGCAGTACCCTCTCCATTAACTCCATTTCATGACCTAGAATGTAGTTGCTTTTGGTACTCATAAAAAAACCTGTAAATTAAAACAATGCTCTTTTTTCTTATAAAATCCTATTTTTAAAAGTGTTTTTAAATTTACCTTTCTTCTAAGGAAGAACGACACTCAGAATGACAGTAACTTTACAACCCATGCGAATAACTTCACTTTTGTGTGCCTTGTTTCCCAATATTTAGGGATTCTTCTGAATGGTGTTTTTCTAAATGTTTTGATTCATCTAACCACTGCACAGAAGACTCCTGCAGGTGCTAAGCATGCTGGAATGTCAGATTTTAAACATCAGGTCTCCATGTTCTTTTAAAGTTACATAATCACAATTAAAGCAGAAATTACTCATCAGAAATAAGGTATAGCAATATGAGACCAGCCATTTCTTGTTGATTATTTCTCCTCTAGAACTTTTTTTGTAGTTTGCATTCTGTACAGTAAAGACCCTCTAGATTAGTATTCTAAATCTCAAATCCATGGGGCTTTTTGGGCCATGCACCCAAAACTTTGGGGTATATGCAAAACCACAACTGTTCATTTTGATTTATTGGCTAATTTCATCTCTATTATACTTACGCAAATTTACTGTACAGACATCACAGCCAGAGTGACCTCTACGCACAACATTTCACCAAGAGAAAAAAGCAGATACTTATTATCAGAGAAGTAGAGCTAGAAATCACATTTTCTTCCAGATGAGACAAAAATTTCACAATTCTATTTTTTTATTTCCATATTTGCATTTGTTATTCTAACAGAAAATGCAGTGGTCTTGAACAGTTCAGTGCTCTTCTATGTTAAGCCAATACTTTTATATCTAATTTAAAAAGTAAAGTTTATAGTCCTTCATGTGTCGTTTCAGAAACGTGCACATACCTGTGCAAAAATACTTTATTTTCTTGGGTTATGCATCCTGCTTGAAAATTTTCTACACATGACACATATTTATCTATATATTCCCTAAAAGTACTTGACTAATCACATTGTCCGTAGCAGTAAGACTAATTAAGAGAAAAGTTAATTTCCATTCACAAGAACTGAGAACTAATTAAGCTCTGGAATTATGTATGACTTAACCAGTGTTTTTGAAACTGGACTACAAACTATCCCTTATGGACAAGAACAGCATTCCATGCAAAAAACCCCAACATTAAAATGGCATTAACTGTAGTTAATAGTCATTAGGCATAAACCAACTTTTTTTAGAAGTTGAATTTATCCCTAGATCAACAACTGCGAAGCTAGGAGATGTAGAGTTAAGGTTAAATGTCCAAGTATATTAAGATATGGAAAACTTCACAATGATGCTATACATTAACTATCTGATTATGGCCAAGGCATTTTAGTGCTGGTGGGTTTAGATGAGATAAATTTATTGTAAACAAATGGTTCAGTTTCTCTCTCCTTCTTAAAGGGTGAACTGTGGAACTACTCAATAAACAGCATCTAAACAACACCATTTACTGCTGTACTAGTGTCTCTTACTAAAGTTCCCTTTGCATTCCAGACTTAAAGGCAGCATCAATTCTACACAATTAACTCACCACAGTAATGATTAACCCTTTTCTCTTTAAAACAAATCTTTGTACTAAAATATACTGGCCTGAGATGGAGAACGGTAAATGATACGTGAAAAGCATGAGGTGCAAGAGCATAAATTCCCTTTCTAGCCAGACCCCCAGCAATAGTAGGGAGATTCTCAACATTCCAAAAGGTGTTTATGCCTTCTCAACTCTGGAGTTGGAAATTTATTTTTTTTAAAAAAAAGTTTTTTAGCACTGAAAGAACTGTTATACAACTTCCAAAAATTCCTAACTTTTATTGGTTGTATCTCACCTCTTTCAAAACTGTCACATCTGAATTAATAGGATTACATTTTACTCTATATTGAGAGTATGAATTAAAAATTTTGAATGAAAAATGTAAAAAAAAATCCATTATACTCTTGAAATTCAGTTTAAGATACACAACAGTTGTGTTGTAAATCATCAGATAAACATAGAATCACAGAAATACTCAGAAAGGCATTATTTGATCCATTCTGCATATACAATTCATACTGGGTTATTAGACTTTTCATTCCTAGAACTTCTGTATCTTCTCCAACCTGCAACTATTTATCAAGTGTTCTGTGACTGAGAAGAGTCCAGAAAGTATATGTGGAAGGTCACCTTTAAAGTGTGTAGGAACATTACACAGATCCAGTGAAGTCTTAGAGCCACTGAAACAAATAACAAATGTTTCCATAGATAATAGTAAGATCAAACTATGAGGGATGTTACAATTTTGTTTCCAGAAATCACTTAAAGATTTTGGTACAGTGCAGACTCAATGTTAAAAGCAAGTTTGCATTAAAAATCTATATTTTTAAAAGTGAGCATTTCTTGTCTCTATAACAAACCTGTTGACTTTTAATTTAATTCAGTGCTTCCCTGATTTTGAATAATGACAAAGTCATTACCACTGAATTTTTGGGGTACAGAGCTAACACGTTTTACAGGATTCTGTAGTATTTGACCAGCTTTTATTCCTAGCTCCACTCAATGCAACTCATTAAGGTCAAAAGGTCATTATACAGTCATGAGAAATATCACATTGACCATACAGAGATTGTGTACCAGTTGTACTAACAGTGACAAGTGCAAGCTTGCTCTGAGTCTGAAAAAGCAGAACCAACCTCACTGGGATCACTGTCACAGTAATAGCACTGGTATTGCCATAAGCATATGATCTGAATAACATCATCTGGCTACTGTGGAGTTGGTAGCATTGGTAGGAAAGTGTGTCCTGCATGCTAAAGCAGTACAAGGAACTTTAATGCAGAACATAAATGGGCAGAGAAGAAGAAAAAAGAAAACCCTTATATGAAACTTGTACAAAACTTCTCAACACACTTTTACATGTTATGAGGTACTCCAAAGCCTGACAGCATTTAGCACCATTAGACTCTCAAGTCCCTTCAACCCATGGTGCAGTATATGCCTCATTATATGAAAGGTATATACAGCTGGGGGATATGTGGCAAAGACACATCTGCTCACCAAGTCATGTCACATGAAGTTCCAGGAGATAGGGCACTTGCATACAGCAAGGAACTTCCCATCTAGTGGGACTTTCAGAGTAAGTCCCTGCTAGAAAGCACACTTCCCTTAGCAGCTGTGTCATCACTCTGTGGCCTCAAAGGCCAGGCACATCTTGTTGCCTGATCAGGTTAATAACTTGTGTCTGAAACCTGGGACTCCAGCCTGAGAAAGGGGTCATGCTGCTTCCATGAACATGGAAGACAGATACATGATAGCTTGAGTTGCAAGACAAGGCAATGGAGATGAAGTGCCTAAGACTTGACAGGACTACAGTGTTTACAGGGGCCTCAGATTACATTTTCCTACTTTAACTAAAATATTATGCATATTTGTATACATAAAACAGATGGTTCTATACTTGCTGAAGAACCATCATGTGAATGAGTTACAATTATGTCCTCTCATCACTCTCTGTTTTTTAACCCAATAAACTAACTTCCAGGTTTGCAAAATTGAAATAATCTGGTCTACAAGAAAATATAAGACAGTAAAAAGTAACATTAGACAAGGGTTTTATCTTCCGTTTATCTCCCACCTGATAAACCCTGAATGGTTCTGTTCCCTGCCTTTGATTGTTTTGTCCTCATATTTCCTGCTAAGAGTTTACAAAACAGCATTATTGAACAGGCAGATAAGCAGCACACCTATTTGTTTAATAACATCAAGGGGGGAAAAGTGCTGGCTCATCCATTTTGTTGTTAAGTTGCTCAAAAGGATCAAAATACCAATTAACTTGCTGGCTTAGAAAATCTTTGATATCCTCAAATTTACTGACATTTTGAAACTCTTGTTCATACTTGCCTAATGTCTTTTTGATTCTGAACAAAGAAGTGCCAATCTGTTTAGCATTTGACCTGTTTTCTCAAACATTTTTATGTATTCAACTACTTAGTTCCTAAAAACACTTGACTAGTCATGGCTGCAAATTGAAGAAAAATGTTTCTTGTTCCATTGATATCTATTTAAAGCATTATTAATTTTTCCCAAGAGCAAAATAGAATAGAATTTGTTTAAAGATAAAGGTAAAATTGAACAGAGGAAAAAGAACAGCCCCTCTCCCACCTTCTGTTTATATCCTGAACTCACAAGTCTTCTACACTGTTGGGCAATTGCTAAATCTTACCCCCACTACCCTTGTCATGTTGAGTTTCTTGCCTGAAAAAATTACATTGACTTGGACTAAAAACTTGGCGAGTTTCTGACAAGACAACTTGTCCTTATGTGCATAAATGAAAAGCTACAGTCAGTGATGCTTTTATTACCATTTCTTTTCAAGGTTGTACTCAAATTCAATGCATTTCTGAATGAAAATAATCTACTGATAAGAGAAGGCCTACCTAATTTCCTCTCAATTTACACTAATTTTAGTGGAGTTATTCTTAGCTCACTTATGTGTAAATTGAATAAAAGTTAAGGTTAATAATTCTGCCTTTAGCCTCTTCAGTATGTTGCAAAGATGCGTTAGTGATCACAAAAATTAATCTCTCTGTTAAACCTGCTTTAGTATCCTGTGACCTTACTAAAATTAGTCAGGTAACACAAAAAAAAAAAAAGGTGGGGGGAAATTACAACTGAAAATGAAATTGCTTTGATGGTCAAATGAATGTGTTAGTTATCCTTCCTGGGATATACATCTCTAGTGTTTTCCTATTACATATTCATTTGGCATACTTAACAGATTACAAATCAGAAATTTTCCCATTTTTTCAGAATTGATTTATTGAGCTATGGTTTTGTCATTCAACACCTCCCAACACAAGAGCCACAGATCTGCAAGCCCAAATAACTGATTTACACACATAAAAATTTACCCAGTCTCTGGGTTTTAGAAAGGCCTGTGAAACTGCTTAGGTCTTTTCTCTTTCAAAAATGTGACCAGCTCCTCTCTCTACCATCATGTGAATTACTTGTTTTCACTACATTCATTAATTCTATATTCTTTGGATGAGCAACCTCCAGTTCAGAAAATATCACTAAATGCTTGATTTAACTATTTATTGCTTGTTCCTACTGTTGAGCAGTTGATGCTTAATGGTACTGCTTCTGCTCCATTAATGCATTATCAATCCTATAGTCTGGAAATAGTAAATACTACACTAAAACATATTTTAAAAATAGAAGAGACCCATAATGATCATAAAAATATATTCTCATAATAAAGACAATAGCATTTCTGAAAACAGTAGTTTCCTGCAGTTTTTATCTGATAGTCACTGCTCTCACTAGAGAATGAGACCATAAATGTACAAACCAATGTTTGTTGAAATTTCTGTACTTAAACATGGAATGTCTTTCCTTGAATGAGTTTTAAAAAAATAGCCACGTTACAGAAGTCTTACCTTTTCACAAACTCTTCAAAGAGGATGCGATGAGAATACCCTTTTTGACGTATTTTGACCGTTTCCAGAATTCCAGTGTACCGGAGCTGCAGCAGAACTCTCTCATGAGAAAATGTCAGAGCTTCTCGATCATCATTAGGTTTAATGCAGCGGATAAAGTGGGGCTGTCCAACAACCATTTTGGATAAAAGATCCATGAGGGAATACTAGCAAGGAAACAGAGAAGATGCACACACTTGACAAAACCCCTAAAATTCAACCACGTAAGAAGGAGACATGTATTTGTAAAATTATATATAAAACCCATATTTAATTGTAATATTAATCAGCCAAGAAAGCCAAGCATATCCTGGGCTGTATCAAAATAAGAGTGGCCAGCAGGTCAAGCAAGGTGAATGTCTCCCACAACTCTTGTCTCATGAGACCCCATCTGGAGTACTGTGTCCAGCTCCTGAGCCTCCAAGACAAGAAGGACCTGCTGGAGCAAATCCAGAGGATGGCCACAAAGATCATCAGACGTTTGGAGCACCTCTCCTATGAAGACAGGCTGAGAGCTGGGCTTGTTACACCTGGAGAAGAGAAGGCTCTGTAGACCTAATAGGAGCCTTCCAGAATCTGAAGGTGAAAGATGGGGAGGGACTTTTTACAAGGGTGTGAATGACAGGAAAAGGGGTAATGGCTTTAAACTGGATAAAGGTAGTTTTAGGCTAGACATTAGAAATAAATTCTTCACTATCAGGGCGGTGAGACACTGGAATAGGTTGCCCAAGGAAGCTGTGGATGCCCTCTCCCTGGAAGTGTTAAAGGCTTGGAGCTCAGGGCTTGGAGTGACCTGGTTCAGTGGGAGGTGTCTCTACCTATGGCAAGGGGGTGGGAACTAGATGGTCTTTAAGGTCCCTTCCAACCGAAACTGCTCTATGATTCTAAATACACTCAATATCAAAATCACATACAATTTCAAGCTGACTGTGGTCGCTTTGCTGTAGGCTGCATCTGTATTATGCTGTGCTTTCATACTCCCCACTCCATTTTTATTTTTATTTTTTACAGTTCCTACACAACTGACATCTGCATAGTTCTTTGAAAGAGCATCCTAAATCCACACTTGGATTACTGGACAAGTCTAGATGTGCGTCCTTGTAACCTCCACACTGCGGCAACAGCTCAGCATGCATCACCTTTCTCTATGCCTTTTCCTTATGCTATTTTGCATGATAAAGAAGGCAGGTATTCCAACACGAAGGCTTGACCCACACAAGCTAGCACAGCACTGTGAAGTTCACCATTCTGCATGGTACAAGCGCAGCCCAAAGACCAGCTGCTTCAAACTTTTCCACTCTGCAACGACCACAACAAAAACCATTAACCAACAGCCTTGGACTAGCGTGTGGGTTCCCTGACTCCTAATCTTCCAGTTCCAACATTCTCAAGGCTTTTTTCTCACTTGTTTGATTTAAACAGCATGCAGAATACACATTCTCCCAGACAAGATTACTACTGATAAATGGCAATCCATGTGATTTTTAACAGTACTTCAAAAAGATGGGTTTTTTTTTACTTATTAGCACAAATAATAAATCTTAACCTTGAAAAGTAGGTATGCCTAAGCTTGTGAAAAAAGTATGAAGGAAGGCTTTAGTAAGAAAATTATCAAAAGAAAATATTTGAGTCTATGCAGGCCTCACAACAGAATAAAAAATATTTCCTATTACGCTCTTTGATCTCACAATCCCACAATTTTTTTAGATATATCTATTCTCATCATCACAATGTTTTTTTATAATTCAACTTTTGTACCCTAAAATATGAAGCCATAGTCTGCCGCTTCATGTTAGTTGTTTCCTCGGGGTGTCGCATAACCTCCATCGTGTCAACCTGAAAGACAAAACTCAGATGTTATAGCTGCTCCAGTAACACTGCAGACTCCCCCTACCTCACCCATGAAAGCTGGGTTCAGCTTTTGTCATGGTTATTCCAGCAGGTCTGAGTGCTCCAGGGTACTTTATCAGAGGTAGGAAGGCCAGATTCTAACAGATGCAGGACATACACTGATTTCAGAGAGAACTTCAAGTGTTCCAAATGATTTCACATTTTTTTAATGCTAGTATAACATCAAGCCAATGAAGCAGCTGTCAAGATGCAATACTTTATGAACTGATTTCTAAAAAGCATTCTCCTTATCACCACTGCAACAAACTCCATCAGGTCTTATTTTCTATATAAGGAGAGCTATCATAGAAAGTAAATTGAGCTGCCTCATTCTGCTCATGTATGGAAAAAATGTTTTTGTCAGATAACAAGTTTCAAACAAAGAAAGTAATCTCAGAATGTGTAAGTGTTTTCCTTTCTGCTGTTGTGGTTACTATTAATTACTTTAAATAGCCATTTTGATGCAAAGAATTTCAGCAATCTTACCATGCTGAAGTTTCACAGCTTCAAATATCCTCTTTTCAGCATTTGAGAAGTTATTTAGAGGGTATACATGGACTGCAAACATATTGCTCATTGTATATTTTAGTTACATTGTCAGTACAGCTGTTTTTATCAAAATGAAATCAGAATTTATGAATTAGTATAACCATGGTTACCAATCACAAGCAGATTGTGTTGCTGTATAAAAGCTCAACAAAATTAAAGAAAAAAATCAATCAGTATCCTGTTTGCACAGAGCATTAACAACATTTTAGCATTCACTTGCTTTGTGGTGTTTACCATCTGCTCTGATCAGGCGGCATTTGTATAAACCATATAATGCTGTTGTCAGCACCTGTGCTACAATTCCTGGACTTTGCTCCATACAACAATTTCCAACACTCACTGACTTCAGACCACTATTCTGAACACTAAAAGCAACTGCTGAAAGATTACAGCTCTCAATAAAGTAACTGTTTCTCTTACCTTCAGGAGATATTTAGGAGACTGCATGCAAAATATAAAGGAAATTAAGCACTAAGTAGTAATAGAGCAAGAAAATGGATTTTGTGTTGGGGAAGAAATCAGCAGAAAACTTGGGAAGGCAAGATTCAGAATACAGATGATGCAAAGGGAAACAGGTTTCCATAATGATGACCATAAACATTTCAGCATGTTTTTTAATCTGTGATATTCTAGCCCAGAGTGGTGTGCATGCATTAGTATGCATCTCAAACAAACACATGAGAAAAACCAAGAGACAGTTTGATAGGCCAGGTTGGATGGGTCCTTCAGTAACCTGATCTGCTGGGATGTGTCCCTGCCCATGCAGGAGGTTGGAACTAGATGACCTATAAGGTCCCTTCCAACCCTAGCCATTCTATCACTTTATGGTATTAGTTTTAAGGATGTTAACAGAAAACTCTGTAACATAACCCAGGAAAAATGCCTTATCAGCACAGATAACATCAAATACTTTTAGAGGTTACCTGACAAAGTAAACATCCATGACCTAATCAGAACCATAGGCATGTCCATGGGGAAGGATATAGGAATGTTTCAAAACTATCTTGGAAGGCAACTACTTTTTGAGAATTGATATCTAAATCTCTTGTAAAGGTCAGGTGGAAGACAAAAACGATATCAGTGAGTTTGGCACTAAGTTTGGAATAACTGGTAACATTCAATGTTAAATGATAGACAATTTAATCTTAAAGAACACTAAATCAAGAGCAAATGCAAACAGTTTGAGAACTGTACTGAAGCCCAAATGCCCATGAATTTGACCATCAAAATTGGATTCCTGACTGTCCAGTAAAACAGATTTTTTGTTGTATTGTTGTTGGAGGTTCAGCACTCACAACCTCTCAGTCATATCTGGCACATCTGCTGGCCAACAAAGGGTCAGCTTATGCTCTAACTTTTGGGCAATAGGATACTGTAAGCACCTCTTTCACAGCTGCTTATTTTCACCAAACCTGTAGAATCTTGCAACTTTTGAGACTGCCACTTTGTCAAATATGGTTTACTACAGCCTGCTGCATTCAAAAGTATTTTGTTTTGTTTGGTTTTTTTTTTTTGGGGAAAGGGAGTGAACTCACAGGAAGACAGATGGTCAGAAACACTCACAGAGCGAGTATCACAGAGTAATACATTTTTCTTGGAAAATCAGGGTAAAACCAGTATAGTGAGATTAATTTTTCTATGGATGGAGTTGTAAATTCAGATCTATGCAATGTATAAGGAGTAGGATAAATTCTGAAATCTTTTTGACAAAAAATATTTGAAGTTTTTATTAGAAAAATTCCAATAGATCTTCAAGTGAGAGAAATATTCCTGTAAGCATTTTCCGAAGTTTTGTCTCTGGTTAATTTTGAATATTGTATGTCTATGAAGCCATTCAGTCTTATTGTAGGGCAATAATCTCAATGTAAAACAGGCAAATATGGGTTGTCAGAAAATGATAAAACATAGTAAGAATGTAACAATATAATCTTGTGTTTTAAATCAGTAGCTACTTTTTAAAACTAAAATGAAGAATATTTCAACTGTTAAGTCACATTCTTACATGACAGTAGTAGTGACGTACAATATACATTTATACAATTACAACGGCAGTGGAAAACAGTTTGACCTAGAAAAGTCAAACTGTTAATCACCAAAAAAAATTGCTTATAATAGTTTGGAAACAATATTAAAAGAATTACTCATGACATCATGTCACTTTATGAAGGCACTGTAAATTATTACTTTAACATACTGACTACACCTGCTGCTGGTATGGTATGAAATACTGTAAAAACAAAAAACATCTTAAGTAAAAAAGCTAAAACACTTACATAATAAATGAAAAATTCCAAACTTTCAAACGAAATTATTACATTTGACTTTTTAACCAAATTTTTAAATAGTAATTTAAAATATTTTTCTGTAGTTGTTTTAAGTAGTTTTACGAAATTGTAAGAAAGATTTTTTCTTCTATTTCAATTAATGTTTCCTGAATAATGCTGTATGTCTTCTAGCTCCTTCTTTTATAATTCTAAGGGTGAGTAAAAACTACTTAATAACTCCTTAATATAAATGTGTTTATTAAAGCTTTAAAAGGGAACTGCTCTATTCCATTAGCTCAATAAAATGCATGCTTAGAAAGCTATGTTGTATTCAGCTGAATGTGGAAGACAATGTATATAAAGTAATACAATGGGAAAGCCTATTATCTGTCCTTCAGCACTGAAAGTGTTTATACCAGAGAGGAAATACATTTCTGAAATCCACATCTGTATTTCCAGGTACAGTGAAGGATACAGATGTCTGGGTGACATGAATTACTGTATCAACATTAAAGCATGAACTCTTAACAACAAGAGAGAATGAAAAGAAATAGAAAAATTGGAACATAAAACACTGCAGACTTTTGAACAGCTGCTTTTACCACACTTGTTTTAAAAAATTATTATTGTTTGATTTGGAGGCAAAAAAACCCCCAAACCTTTAACTAAGCCAACTCTAAAAGCACTACTTAGGAAGCAGGGAGTGAATGCACATGCTGTGAGCTTGAGGCTCAAGGGTTTTTCCTCCACTCAATTGGCAGCGCATCCTATTAACTGCCATAAAACTATCCCATCCCTTTGCAATTACACCACATACTTTTATGGCAAAATCCAGCAGTGTCTGAATTTGACAGTTCTTATTTTTAAAGTACAGTAGTTTTGCTGAGTTGTTCTTTTCTGGTCATCTATCAGTCACAAATGTCCCCTGGTTTTTCACTTGCAAGCTGAATAAAAAAGGAATGGATATTTTCTGTATTTTGCCTTTCATACTGTTAAATACACTACTCAAATTTATCTAATTCAATCTCGTTCTAAACAAAACTTGGCAGGAGAAAACCTTGATCCCATTGAAATCAAGAGGAATATGGCTACCAATATCAATGTAACTAGGATTTCACTTTAAAAGTTTAATCAGCAGTAAAATTGATGCTTCACTGGATTCTAAAATAGGGTCCTCACTGAAACTAGGAACAGTGCTTTTGGGTGTGGTGCAGGTTTTCTGATACTAAGGCAGACTCTCATTTGGTAAGAAAGTCACTATAGACCTACATCAGCTAAACACCTTGTCCATAGTCTTGCTGTAATATTTTATGAACAATTGTCTGTCTTCAAAGAGAACACTACTAACCTTGATACGCCCAGCATTAAGCTGTGGAGGCAAAGACCTAGATGCTGCTGTCACTCTGGCTCTTGTCTGTGCCAAGTTACCTGTACAAAACGAAAGAAAAACACATTGCAAAAACTGTTCAAGAAGCTTATCAGGGAAAATGTATATGGTGGAAAATTGGCTTGTACAATAGTACTAAAAATAGCAGACACCACCACACTTGTTCCACACCCTGCTCATTAGCAATTGTGTCTGCAGAGCATTCAGCACAGGCATGACAGAGTGCAGTGTTTATTTAAAAGAGAGGAAAAAGTCAGCGATAAGGTGGTATGTCACTGACCTTAGCTACTGAGCTGATGAAAACAACTGACAGCACAAAGGCATACAGCTCAATCACTAGTCATCAATTTCTCTGTGACTCATTGAGAGATTTAAAAGAGAAAAAGACAGCAGAAACAATCTTGTTTCTATGAAATCATGTGGATCCTGAAGTGTTTAGACAGCATCTTAAGCTCACAAACCAATGAAAGAGATGAGAAAATGATAAGACGGTCTTTTTTTTCTTTTTTTTTTTTTTTTACCTTTTGACATGTAGGCCTGCTTAATCCCCAATCTTATTGTCCCTTGGGGTTTTTAAACACTGACTCAGTTCCTTGGGAAAAAACATATCATGGTGCCAACTGAAAGAGGAGTGCCTTTTTAAAAACGTACAGTATGATGTGTCCTAAACTTTTTTCTCTGTACTTGCAGAAAGCCAAAGTCATCACAAAATAGCTTTTCAAAATAAAGCCTCAGAGAAGAGAGAGGAAGTGATACAGCACTGTGCATATGCAAGACACTCTGTGTATTTCAAAGTTTTAGCAAGTCTCGCACAAGATGTCCAAATGTTTTCTCTGGCTATATCTTCAGAGGCTAAACTGTGATTAATAGCATTGAAAGAACCCTTTGAAGCAGGATTGGTGACATCAAAGCCCTAATCCATGGGTGGCAGGATTTTTATAATGAGTGGGAAGCATTTTAACACATTTCAAAGGATTTACAGCATGAATAAACAATAGGCCTCTGCAGATGTACCACACACCTTTCAGAACCAGAACATATAAATAAGTGTCCATTTTAATTTAAATGTAAATAAAGTGTTAACACTTCTTTCACATGCTAAGTGTGTTGTTTGCATCAACTCCAGCATTTAGCTGTTCGCTTTACAGAAAGCCAGTATCTCTAGAGTCTTCAGAGTTTTCCTAAACTATATATTACATAACTGGGAAGCAGGCAGGATGGGAAAAACACAAACCAAGAACAGTTAATTGCTGGTAATTATTCCACCAGGGAGCAGAGCAAACTCAGTGTCCACATAACACTGAGAGGAACATTTGCTCTTACTTTCCTCCAAACAATAAAAATACCAATCCCCTGAAAAAAATCTGGGGGCCAGCACTCAAACACAGCAATGACATTCTCTGGAATGATTTAGACATTCTGTATTAATTTTAAAAGTATTTATCTTTTAAGCTCCTGGCATTGAGATTGACACAATGCTGCAAAACTGTCATGTCATTTCCAGATCTAACAGCATATGTTACCTAACAATTTAAATCACAGTGCACAAAACAAGGTGTCCACGTTTTTGGAAAATGCTTTAGGTTAATGAGAACTGCAACTCTGTTTTGAAAATCTTGTACATCTATATACACATGTGGTACATATGGTATGTACATGTATCTCTCTAAAATTAAAATGAGGATTGTCATGAGAGAATAGCTGGTGAATTAATTTTTCTCTTAGCTGTAATTTGGATATTTTTGTATGTTAGAATTACACTTTTTGCCCTTTTTTATCTAAAGTAGACAATCTGGAAGGTTGATTTTGGCTAGGCATCAGATTAGCAAATCTAAATCTCGAAAGCCTTAAACTGAAGAATTTAAGACATAGCTGAGGATAAAAGAGAGGAGTTGGCAGACAAGAAAAAAAAATAATCTGTTTAGAAGTATAAAATTTTGTTTCATTTTATAACAAGTTACAAAACTCTAATAATCATGTAAAATTTAGAATTATTAGACACTTGCTCAGGGCTCACCACACTCACTGCTGGCATTAGGTTTCTGGGGTGCAGAATTAAAAACCCTGAGCTCTCCCTTAGTTCCTCATGCAAAACTAAAACTAAACATAACTGATTCGGCAAACCAAGCAAATAAATACATTATTAATCAAAAAACCTAATGACTTCACAAACAAAAAAATCCAACCCACCGACCTCAAAGTGGTCAGTATCTACAAAAAAAAAGAACAGCTTCACATATTGTGATTTTGTTCATTAGTTACCTTCTAGGAATGGATAATGATTATTATTGTTGTTGTTGTTATTATTATTATTCTTACTGCTTATTTCATGTGTCAAGTGAATTCCTATGTAACTACTAAAGACTGAGTTGTAGCATCAGATGAAATCCACAGAAAAAATGTTATTAGGATTTTCTTTTCCAGATAAAACACAATATGATGCTTCAATAAAATTTCGTAAATTAAGTCATCTCAAGTAGTTAATGTTCAGGAAAGTAACTACCTATCCATCAAAACTAATAAACAGAACAAATGTGGTTTAAATATTAGTCTACATAATAAGAAATGTTTCACCCAGAGTTAACATGGTGTTTATAGTCAGTAAACATTTGGTACCTGTCCCTGCATTTGATTTTCATTTACAAGGTCATTTATTACTATACACACCAAAAATAATTAAATGTAATTCCACTTTGTAATGAACATCAATATTTGAAGAACAAACATCTTTAGATAATAACACAGCCAGTTAAAACTGCCATGGGTTCCTTGAAAGGCTAAACCTGTTAAAGGTTAAAAGACTGCACTGTGCTTTTCAGAAGTCTAGCTTCATACCTATTACTATAATTCAGAGAAAATACAAGTGACATCCATATAGGCTTAAATAAAATACTACCTATATTAAATCTAACTCCATAAAATGGACCAATTAAATTATTTAAAAGACTCAGATTTTTAGTAGGTTTTTTTTGAAAAGGCAATCATGGGTGGGGGGGGGGAAGAGAAGTTAATGGGTAAAATCAGGATTAATCATTTAAATATGTACATGTTTAATTTTATTCACATGCATTTCCTTCTCAGTTCAATGGGACAGCTCATCTGAAAAATTAAGACTCCTAGCTATGTGCCTGATCAGAGACTAAGGTCTCTGGGATTCATTTGTGTCAGTGGGGGAGTCAGACCTGATGTTTCTCTTTTTCCCCTCTGTTAATGTAGTTTGGAATGTCATTAATGCTTTGAGAAGTTTCAGTCATTAAAGTCTGTGAAAAGCTCGGAGATCTTCCAACAGAAGGGGAAAGAGCAGCACAAAAATCTATGCACTCACTGCCTAAGTTCACTGTTCTAATGCTCAGCAAAATTCCTTTTGTCTTGAAGCTCTATAGGATATCTCACATCTCTGTATGCCTCATTTCAGCTAAGCTGAAGAGAACATACTGTCAAAGTATGGTATCTCTTCTATCATGCAAGAAGGAGAAGTTTTGAAAGTATTTCAACTATTTACAGAGCACAGAAAAAAGAAGCTAAGAAATGGTTTATCTTATTTTCAGTTTGGACTTTGGAAGTACTCTCTAGATCTCAGCAAGGACTAGTCAGCATTCCTGTCTTCTCAATTGCATCCAAGGCACTTACTCACTGTGTGATCTGGCCAAATTAATGATCTGTCCAGCAGCTGGCTTTCCATACTGATTAGGAAGAGTATGCTCTCTGGCTGGAGGTTCTGATGTTACTTAGAGTTTGCCAGTGCTTCATTACGGTTAGGTGATAGGTTCTACAAGTAGTATCAAGTGAGTATTAGTAATACTAGTATTGTATTTATTACCTCATAGATCACTCCTCCCAAAGTAAGAACATGCCAGGTAAGAAATACATTAAGCTTCAATACAGCTTTTAGTTTGTGAAGTGCAAATGACTTACAGAGAAAGAGCCTAATGACAGTATCACCTTACTGTACAAGCTGTACCAAGGATATGACTATTATATAGAGGGCACAGTACAAGCTTGTTCCTTATCCTCATATAGTTTTTTAATTTCCTTTATGTTTCTGGTCCAGATAAAGACGGGTTACTTGAAGCACCATGTAGATACAGTATGGTCAGAAATGCCACAAGGCATTTGTATTTCATTGACACTTCTAATCACAGCTAAGCACTTGCACTCCAGAACAGGTTGAATCAGACAATGCCTTTGACATACACAGATACTTTTCTGTCCTTCCTTTCAGTACATTTTATCTAGCCTAAAGAAGCTGACTGCTTATCACCATAATTCAATTTCATCTTTTGCTACTGTAAGACTAAGCTTTTCTTAACTCTACTATAAATTAATACATGTTCTTTTTTATTGAGTACTAATTTGAATCTAATCACTAAGTATCAAAACTCCTTTTGAGTCACTAAAGTAACTTTAATCTCATGCAATAAAAACCTAAGAATAAAATTTTCTCATATACTACACATTTTACACAAAAATACTTTTATAAAATACTGTCTGTAGAATACAATTATCAATATATACACACTTCTGCTGCTCATTAATCTGAGAAGGGAACAATTTTACTTCCTGTTCAGAATAAGTAAATAAAAAATGAGAAATAACATTTCCAAAATCAGATCCATATTGCAAAACAGAATCTGATAACCATGAAAACTTACAGATTATAATGCCCATTTGGGAATAATTTAATTACAAGTAATTGCTTCAGGTGCAAAAAAGTTGCACTTTCTGGCCCAGATTATTTGAAATAAAAAGCCCACACCATAGAGATCTGACAAATTCTAATCCTGATTCTCAGTTAGACTAGAGGTTTCTTTATAGGTTTCTTTGCTATGCTTTCTTCTTCATACATCACAGACACTTCTGTGGTCACTTCCACATTAGTAAGGAACCTATTGGAAAACACACAGCAACAATAAAATTTGCTGTGGCAAACATACAGCAAACAAAACTTCACTTGTAAGCATCATCACTGCTATGTTTAAATATTGTTTTAACACAGCAGGTTAGTAGAATTGTAGAATGCAAGGGAAGAAAGACGCTGAGA